AGTAACCGTCACGGCAGCGCTATTCAAAGCATAACGATCGTTGTCCTGCCATTGGATGTACGCGTCCGTACCTTCGTGATGGGATAGGGGTATCCCCCCAAATGCATGAGCACACATAATGCATGAGGTCCCAAAATTTTCCATTTTCATTATCCTTTAATACAACCCCGCTAGCATTATATACATATCATATCATTTTTCATATCGTTTCAGATATCGTTCATCATTCATATCATATCGTTTCTCATTCTTCAGTTCTCAAATCATACATAATTCTAACGGGGTTATATTTCATGTTATTTATCGTAATTTCATGTCATTTATATCATGTTGTATACACACAATTTAAGAGACCTAACATAACGTTCTATGCTTTTAACATAACATTTCATCATATACATATCATACCATGACATATTGCATCATAATGTATCATATCATAAACAAGTCATAACGTAAACACTTCGTAGTCATATCGTTCTCTAACTTATCATAGCCTTAACGTTCATATACCTATCACAGACATATCATTACGTGAACATACCTTAGTCATATCGTCACAAGAACTTAACCTAACGCTATCGTTCTATCAATCCTAACGCTATCGTTCTATCAATCTATCACAAACCTATCCCTTTCTACCCGTAACCTAATCGTATTCTTCCATCAATCTCTCTTATCCATATCACTCAGGTATGTAACCTAACCTTAACGTTTCATGAACGTATTTTACTCCTATCATTACATTTCGTGCATCCTTCTTGTATCATATCTCAAACATATCCTTGAACACATCGTACCGTAATTATTATGATACAATTCACATATTATAACATATACATAACATATAGGAAGCATATCGATCCACAGACAATTCACACATATCAATATATATGACACGTGCAGAACCACAGGGCACGTGTCAACATCAAATATAACCATGCCAATAGTAAGGTCACTTACTTACCTGGCTAGCTTAAGTCGTTGTCACGAATATATCTTTAATGAAAGTTTGATTCCGTCATTTGAAAACCGAGTCAACCTATATGAGCCCATGACATTAGTTTCTGGTTTGAACTCTACAATATTATTTCTCCTATTTAGATTGGTCCATTGTTAAAAATCTTGAAATGTTATATAGCTATACTTATATTTTTATTAAAAACCTTATTTTTCATGGTTACTGTTGTATAAGAAATTAAATACAGCTATTTCAAGTTATTCTAGGCTTTACTAGTCTCTCTATTTACCCTATATATTTACCTTTTCCTCCATATTTAGTTTGTGGTTTTTAATTCCCTAATCTTCTCTTTTTTTATCTGTTGACTTTTGATTATGTTCTCATGTATTCCAAATCCAAATTTCTAGTGGATCTCTGTTTCCAAATCTTTCCTTATGTCAGTGTTTCCTGTTCAGAAGTTTTCTTGGCCATTCTATCTTTAATATATTCATTTCACTATTGATAAAAGTTTAATCTAATATTACTAATTTGACATGATTTACTAGAATTGTATAAATGATTCACATTTAGTTTCTAACTCAAAGCTAGACCATTGTAATAATTCATTTCGCTATTGATAAAAGTTTAATCTAATATTACTAATTTGACATGATTTACTAGAATTGTATAAATGATTCACATTTAGTTTCTAACTCAAAGCTAGACCATTGTAATAATTCAATGAAGATCTAACTATATTGGTTGTGATTTCTAAAAAGATTTAATATATATAAAAGAAAATGAGATTTAATATATACCAGATCTATGTAAATGGGTGAATCTCAACTGGGCAAAGGCCATTCTCATTTTTTTTTTTTCTTAAGTAATTTTTTTTCAGTAACTAAGGATAGGATGAGGAGAGACCAAGTGTGGGAAATGATGAGAGGTTAGTAGAGAGAAGTGTGGAAAGATTTTTTTATTTTTTTAATTTTAATTTTAATTAATTAATTATTATTATTTTAACTATTTTTTATTTTTTTATTTCTTTATTTATTTTTGGGCTATTACACAAAAGGTCGTGATCGGACAGGGTGAGCTAGCTCCAAAAACTCGTGAAAATGGGGTCTCACCCTCGTAAAAATAATACTAGTGAGAGAGTGAGATCTATTGTTGTAGGAATGAATTTTATCTCATGAAAATTATGCTTCTAAATTTTTATTTGGTCAAATCCATAAACTGACGAGTTTATTGAACCGGTCACAAAAACTTAGGACAAAACTTCACATGCTAGAGTTGATAATTCACTCAAGATTAAGATCGAGTTAAACATGCTCATCATATTAAACATTAATTTTTTCGATTAACAGTTTATAAATAAAAAAAAATAGATATCTTGTAGCTTAATCTTATACAAACTTTTTGTAGCCACGTGCTACCCATATTTTTAGGTAAGGGTAAAGCCCCCATTTACGGCTGACGGTGAACGCTGCGAAGGCCATTGAAGTCTTAGGGAGGGCTTGTAGTGTCGTAGGCGTCTTGTTTGGACTCTTTCGAATGATAGTTAAATTGCAATTATTTCTCCTAGTTACATGTTGATTTATTTCTTAGTTAGGTTGTCGCTATTGTTTTTTCCATATATGAACTACTTATAATAATGAACATGTCGTCGCTGTTGAGGTTGTCTTACATAAATTTTCGTACTTTTGTCATACGAGTGTAAGGTAACGTCGCTAATTAGGTTAAAGAAAATTAGGGGCGTTACATGAGGTCCCCAATATTTCTACATTTATCATTAATTAATATAACCCCGCTATCATCTTTCATGCTTAACATATCATTTCTCATTTTTCGGTCTACGTATCATACATAATCCTAACGGGGTTACATTTCATTTCATTTATCGTGATATCATATTCATAACATGTTGTATACATACAATTTAGAAAACATAACATAACGCTTCATGCTTTTAACATGTCATTTCATAACGTGCAATTCATACACCAATTACCTCAATGGTCACACAAAACAATCTAAACATAACATATCACATCACAATATACAGTATCATAAACATGTCATATTGTAAATACTTCGTGGTCTTATCGTTCCCTAACTTATCATAGCCTTAACGTTCTTATACCTATCATAGTCATATCGTTACGTGAACGTACCTTAGTCATATCATCACAGAAACGTATCCTAACACTATCGTTCTATCAATCTATCACAAACCTATCTCTTTCTATCCATATCCTATCCATATTCTTTTATCAAAATCCCCTATCCATAGCACTCTGGTATATAACCTGATCTTAACGTTTCATGAACGTATCTTACTTCTATTGTTACATTTCGTTTTATGCATCCTTCCGTATCCTATCTCAAACATATCCTTGAATACATCGTACCATAATTATTATCATACAATACACACATTATAACATAACATAAACATAATATAAGCATACCGATTCACAGATATTCACACATATCAGTATATATGACACGTGCAGAACCACAGACACGTGTCAACATTAGATATAACCATGTCGATAGTAAGGTCACTTACCTGGTTAGCTTAAGTTTTTGTCACAAACATATCCTTAATGAAAGTTCGGTTCTGTCCTTTGAAATCTAAGTCAACCGATGTGAGCGCATGATATCAGTTTCAAGTTTGAACTCTATAAAATTATTTCTCTAATTTACCTTTGTCCATTGTTAGAAGTCTTTAAATGTTATATATCTATAATTATATTTTTATTAAAAAACTTATTTTCCATGTTTACTGTTGTAAAAAAAAAAAAAAAAGAATGAAGTTATTTCAAGTTATTTTGCCTTACTACTCTCTGTATTTACTTTTATCTCTATATTTAGTTTGTGGTTTTTAATTACTGAATCTTCATTTTTTTTTTATCAATATTTACTCGGATGCTTTTTAGTTTTTTAGCATGTATTACAAATTTCTTATGGACCCTTGGTTTCAAGTTATTCTACCCCTTTACTGCTCCTTGACTTCTTAATTTATTTCATTATTTATGATTTTTTTTTATTATTATTTTTTTATTTTTATGAGCTATTACAAGGAACTAGAACCTCTACCGACACTCACAACCCTAAATTGCTCAGTCTACTGAAAACATCCTGACCTAGTTCATCGTCTAGCCAACCTAACTCTAACGTCCTAGCTCTCTGCAGGTAAACACACTCCACAGTGAGAACACACAACCAAACACCTGAAGCTAACACATAGTGTATCATGCTCACATACAAGCAAACAAATTCAACAGGGAGATACCATCCATCAATCACCCAGGGAGATACCATCCATCAATCACCCAGAGCACATATCGCAATAGCCTATCATCCTTTCTAACACAGTAGAAAGTATAAAACAACATTTATCACAAATCTCATCATAGGGACATATTGGTAATTTCTTAAATCATGCGTAACATACTCATCCATATTATCTCACTCGTATTTTAGTGGTGCATATTCTCTTCCATATTCTAGTCATTTTTCCCTGTTGATTCTTATATTGTTTTAAAATTTTATTATGAACATTTATGTGTGTACATTGTTATTTTATAAGAACAAAGAGAGAAATTAAAGATTGTCCCACACAACCTTTTCTCTTTCCACCTTTAGTTCTTAGTATTTTTCTTTTTAATTTGTTGAACGAAAATGACGGGAATCAAATTCTTAAATTGACATTTTAAATTAAATATAAGACTTTAATTAAGAAATTTGTTGAATTCATATATGGAAGGTGAGTTTGGTTCTTTATTTTAAAATCTAAATATAGATGAAAATCAAATTAAATTGACTGACACGAACTTTTAAACAAGACTATTCAACTTTTGCTTAATTATATAGTATACTCTCAATTTAGAATCTTTTTCGGTTCATTAGGAATCTTTATTTATTTACATATATATATATATATATATATGTCCCTTCAAGCTTAGAAGTTCATATCATATTCAAATGGCTTCTCTTAGAACAAGTTTTTGTGTGCTTTTGTTTCTTTTCTATTGTAGTTTCAATGTCTTTGAAGCTACTGAATCTCATGAAAGCCTAGATCCTGCACCAACTCACCACGACAGCCACCACAAAGCAGCCTCTCCAGGCCCACATCATCATCATCACCGCCGCCACCACCATCACCATCATGCGCCTACGCAGTCCAAGATCAATGTCATCGAATCTGCCGAATCTCATGGCAACCCTGTTGTTGCACCAACTCATCATGACAGTCACGGTGCATCAAGCCCTCACCACCACCACCATCACCACCACCACCACCATGGCCACCATCATGTGGCTGCTCCGAGCCCTCACCACCACCTGCCTACGCAGTCCAAGTTCAATGTCATCGAATCTGTTGAATCTCACGGCAACCCTGTTGTTGCACCAACTCATTATGGCAGTCACCACCACCACCACGGCCACCATCATGTAGCTGCTCCAAGCCACCCCCACCACCCCGAGCATGCCCACCATGCTCACCACGCCCACCACAAAGAAGATGCCCCAAGCCCTCACCACCACCACGCCCACCACAAAGTAGCTGCCACCATATAGTCGCAGAAGGCCCATTAACATCCATTGTAATGGACTTATTTTTCTTTTAAAATAAACCTATTACTATAGGTATGTCATGAATTGTTCAAGCAAAAAATATCTAAAGTTCATTTTAACTTTAAATTTGTCATTAACTTCAATATTCATAAATAGTGTAAATATGGTGAAAACATAATTAAAATAAGGTTTAAACATCTTCTAACAGCCAAATCAAACATCCAATTTAATCAAGGGTGAAAAAATATTCTCATTCAAAATAAAGGTATTTCTTAATTTTTACCATTTTTGGATTCAAGCATTTTCTGGATCTCTTCACAAGATTTGGTCAATATGATAACAAATCACCTAAAATTCATATGCTATCCTTAAATTCATAAATCATATCTTGGGTTCTTCCTCAATTATTAATTGATTTTGATAATTCAAAAGTTTAGATCTATGAAGAATCATGTTTTTAGCCACTTCCGTGAAGGATTCTCGGCCAAAAGCCATCCTGAACACCGCAAATTTGAGTTTGAATCTCACATTTCAGCTTCCTCTTTCAAAAATCCTAGCCCCTCTTTTCTTTTCCTTTTTCTAAGAAGGCTTGTACCGTCGTAGCCTCGGTGTTATAGAAAGGTTAAACTGGGTAAGAAGGGTTGAAGGCGTCACAATGACCGCCGATAGTAGTAGCTTTAACAACAGAACTGAAAGTGTGAGGGTAGTTGAGACAAGAAATCTGAGTATAAACTTTGGCAACAAGATGAGTCTTGAAATGCTCAACAAATTCATCGAGCAAATAGTTAGTGTTAAACACCCATTTAGAGCCCACGTGTTGCATGGGCGAAGAACTAAAATCTAAGTGTCGTTTATTGTAAAGCTCGAATTTCCTCATCCATGGCAGCAATCCAAACACGATTCTTAGCAGTAGATTTGAATTTTGTTGGCTCAATGAATGCAAGAAGAGCAAAAAGAAGTCCAAAAGAGCCCAAAACATCAAAAATTGTTGGATGACGAGTTCTGAAAATATAAACTTTTGCTCGTGTGATCGTAGGATCAAAACCCAAAGAATATGAAGAATCAATAGCAAGTTCAATAGGGGGCGAATCTTAAGCCGAGGGTGTCATAGAGGAACCTGCAAGAAAAGTATCAATTTGCACATACTCATCCACAAGGTCATAACAAATATCACATGGAGATGACCTAGATCGATGAATGTGCAGCAAAGAAGGGTTAAGGGGATCAATATGGTAAAAGACGCGGCTCCAAGAAATTTGAAATATGTAAAGAGTAAAGATACCTAGAGACAGCAGAAAAGTATTCGCTTTAAAACAATACAAATTTCATTTTACCCTAACCCAAACACCTTCATGTCCACCTTGATGCATTTGAACTCTTCGTCCAACAGAATCTGCTACATGCTAGTCATAGCATCTCATTGATTGTTGTATATTATTTTTTGAGATTAACGACCTTACCATCTATAGTTGATACCGCTTTCAGTTTGATACTCAATAACTTCTCTATCATCGACTCTTGTAGTTGTCGCAGGTACCTTGATCTCAACTATATAAATTAACACATAAACTATGTTTTTTTTTTTTTCAGAAAAAATAAAGGACAAATAAAGGGAATGAACCATTTGAAACTATATAGCATTCAATGGCCTTAAATTGCTCCCAACTAAATAACTCCATGTAGAAACCATAAAGAGCTTACTTTTATTATCTTTCAAACCCTATTAATACATACCCCAATTGACAAAGATGATATCAAAAACAGCTTGAAGAACACCGACAATGGCACGAGTGAATTATCTCATTGCTGCTCTATTGCTCCAGATAGTTTGGTCATTATGTATGAGTCAATTGTGTAGTGCTTCTGATCTTAAAAATTTTGGATCTTTTCCTGCCATTCTTATTATCGGTGATTCTACGGTAGATACGGGTAATAACAACTTCATTCCCACCAATACAAAAGCTAATTACTCTCCTTATGGCAAAGATTTTCCTTGTCATATTGCTATGGAAAATTTATTCCTGACATGGTGGCCTCTAGGTTGGGCATAAAGGTAGAGTAATGGAAAATTTATTCCTGACATGTGGCCTCTAGGTTGGGCATAAAGGAGCTTGTTCCTCCATTTTTTGATCCAAAATTGTCAAATGATGACGTAAAAACAGGAGTTAGTTTTGCATCAGCGGGCTCAGGGTTTGATGATCTAACTACTATGATATACAAAGTTATTCCTATGATGATGCAAGTTGATATGTTCAAGAATTATATTCAACCGAGATTGTAGATGTAGATGAAATGATAAGCGCCTACAATGTTGGAATTTGCAAAGCCAGAGGTCCTTCTAGAATCCTTGCAAAAGGCTCACAGAGAAAGCAAACTTAACGGATTGATTCCAACCAAGAGCTGGTTAGAAGATGAATGACTCTTAGATCGAACTTGGAATCTATGATGTTCACTCTTAGATACCAAGCCAATTCACTTCAGAATTAGCTGGATCAAAACTAATTCAATGAATCGGTTTAAACATCAAACCTAAAGCAAGGTTTGAAAAAGAATAAGACCAAAAAGGTATCAAGAAAACACAAAGGTTTTTTTTTCAGTATTCAACAAAAATCTATCCAAACAATATTACATGTCTTTAAATAGGCCCTAACAAAATAGAGTTCAGCCACCAACCACTAATGAATGCTAATAAATTCTATTAAATACAAATGGAAGAATATAAGGCAATTCATACAAACTATTAATAAATGCTATTAAATATAAATCGAAGAAAATAAGGCATTAATAAATTTCCTTAATTGGTGATTCAACTAACAAAGTCAAGACTTCTAATTACTTTCGAATATTAGCCACTTCATTATTTTCTTGATTTGATATGCTAATGCTATAAAGATTTTTGGGCTCAAGTCTTTGTTTCAACCGATACGCTAGCTAACCTTTGAAGATGCAATGTATAGGCCTCTTGAATCTTCTTAACCTTGCTTCTTGTAATCGGTCCTTCGGGTACATACACGTGATCAGTTGTTGGATTCATATCATGAAAGTAAAAAGATTATTGGTAGTGCTTTAGTTATTCTTAGTGCAGGAACTAATGACTTTACCAAAAATTTCTACGACCTTCCGGTAAGGAAACTACAACACAATATTAGCTGTTATCAAGATTTCATCCAAGATAGACTACAAAGCTTCATCAAGGTAAATTAAACCATATGTAACCCTAATCAATATTTGATCACATAATAATCCAAATTCATTCACATAAGCTTATGAACTCTAATATACTAAACAGGAAATTTATGAGCTTGGATGTCGCAATATAGTGGTTGCTGGCCTCCCTCCTATTGGTTGTCTTCCCATTCAAGAGACTGCATCGTTTCAACTTCCTCTAAAGCGAATATGTTTGGAAGATCAAAACTCGGACTCCATATCCTATAATCAGAAGCTTTCAAAGTTGTTGGGCAATCTACAATCGCAACTACATGGAAGCACAATATTGTACGCAGACATTTACACCCCTCTCATCGACATGGTCAATAATCCTCACAAGTATGGTAAGTCGGTTCCCATCAAAATAGAAACCTTAATCAACTTATATGATCTAACATCGTAAATATTTTAGAGAAATCAAGTTCTGAGAATCATTTTCAACTGAGTTTTGCTTGGGAATTTTGGTCGCACAAGTTTTGAGCATACGAACACAGGTTGTTGTGGAACTGGATTGCCAGAAGTAGCGTAGCTATGTAATGCATTAACCCCAACATGTGAAGATTCATCAAAATACCTGTTTTGGAATAGCGTCCATCCGACCGAAGCAGCTTACAAATTCATGACTGAGTTATTTCTCAAGCAATTTCTTTAATTACCTAAATCAAAATTTAATAGTTTCGGGTTCTAAGTCTATGGCTTCAATGTTTGCTGATTTTAAAATGAAACTTGTCTAGACTACTTTCGTATTTTTTTTTCCCCTCTAGTTATTAAGGAAGACTATAGTCTGTAAATGTCTTTTATCACGATCAAATGGACACAAATAGTGTATTTCCAAGCAAAATCACGTTCTATTTTTATTTATTTATTTGAGAATTACAAATACTTTTAAGCAATTTATAAAGGTATAATAAAATATTTTATATTTAATCCTATAATTAAAAAAAAATTGTATACGTCCAAAATAATAAATATAATTAATTTGGAAACAGAATGCAACATATTCTTTTGTAATATAAAAAAGAAATATCGTTTTGAACTATTGTACATTTCAATTTAAATTAGAAACCGTACTTACAATACAAGTCGTTATTAACCATATATACATTTGATGGTATATAAAAATCATTATGTATTACAAATTATCATATGGTAGGAGGATATTAAGTACGAGATCTAAAAAATATTTTATAAATAAAATAATCATAATTTACGGTATTATTCAACTAACATGACAATATGAATTTCTTAATGCATTTTTTAAAAGAAAAATTAATCTTAAACATTTCTTATTAAATACCCAACTGATCCATAAAATTTTTGGGTTGGGTTGGCTCCGGAATGGATAAGAGATTTATGGTTATGTTTTGGACGTTTTTTTTTTTTAATGTAGTTGTAATATTCTTCTCCAAATCCACAGCTAGGAGATATTAGTCTATTAGTTGATGATGTCCTTTATGTCTGACTCACATACCATTTATAACAGCCTTGAAGATAATGTCTGTGGCTCAAATACTATTTATAACAGCTCGAAGTCACTAGTAGATATTATCAGCTTAGGCCGGATTACATACTGTTAATTGATTTAGCTAATTATTACTCAAAAGAGTTTAAAAAGGATTAAGCTAATTATTACTCAAAAGAGTTTAAAAAGGATTAATTTGAAAAACAGAAAATAAACTGTAATTACTTCAGCAAAAATTAACTTTATTAGGTTCAAATAGCTAACGTTTCTTAATAAAGGCATAAGTCGTCGAATTCTATCGTTATTTTGTTGTATACAATAATTCAAAAATAAAACATTCTTCTTCGTTTGAACAGTTTCTTTCTTAAACTATACAAAAACCATAATGATGTCACTGTTCTATCCTTCAACTCATATAAATACATCAACCCATTAACGAAGATGATATCACAAACAAGAATGACACGAGCTAATTACTTCATTGTTGTTTTATCGCTCTTCATAATTTGGTCGTTATTTCTTAGCAAACCATGCAGTGCTTTAGCTCCTAAAACTTTTCCATCTTTTCCCGCTATTCTCATTTTTGGTGATTCTACTGTGGATATCGAAAATAACAACTTCATTCACACTATTTTCAAGGCTAATTACGCACCATACGGTAAAGATTTCTTGGATCATGTTGCTACGGGAAGGTTTAGTGATGGAAAACTTATCCCTGATATGATAGCTTCTAAATTAGGCATAAAAGAGCTTGTTGCTCCGTTTTTTAATCCAAAATTGTCGGATGATGATGTCAAAATAGGTATCTGTTTTGCATTGGCTGGCTTAGGGTTTGACAATTTGACTTCTATGATATCCAATGTCATTCGTGTGATGAAGCAAGTTGATCTTTTCAAAAACTATATTCAAAGGCTTCAAGGGATTGTGGGTGTGGACGAAAGTAAAAGGATTATTCGTAATGCTTTGGTTGTTATTAGTGCAGAAACTAATGACTTGAACATTAATTTCTACGACCTTCCGACAAGACAACTACAATACAATATTAGCTGTTACAAAGGTTTTATATAGAACAGACTACAAAGCTTGATCGAGGTAAATTATCTTAACATAAAAAACTTTCTAGTATGTGTCTAAATTTTTAAGTATTGTTTTCATTATTATTATTTTTAAACATAATTCTAACCGAAAATTGACAGGAACCAACTTGGATGCCGTTATATAGTCGTTGCTGGCCTCCCTCCGGTTGGTTGTCTTCTCATTCAAGAGACTATATCATTTCAAAATCCCCTCCACCAAGTATGTTTGGAGGATCAAAATTCAGATTCCGAAGACTACAACCAAAAGCTTTCAAAGCTACTCACCAATTTACAATCACAACTAAGTGGAAGCACGATTTTGTACGCTGACATTTATACCCCTCTCATTGATATGATCAATAATCCTAAAAAATATGGTAAGTCAATTCCATAAATATTTATGAGAAATCAAAGTTTGAGAACCATTTTCAACTAATTTTTGGTTCAGGGCATTTGTTGAACAGGTTTTGAGCATAAAGAGAAGGGTTGTTGTGGAATTGGATTAGTGGAAGTGAGGCCTTCTATGTAATGTAATTATCACAACGTGTAAAGATCCATCAAAATTTATGTTCTGGGATAGCATTCATCCGACCGAAGCAACCTACAAGTTCGTCACTAAATCGCTTCTCAAGCAATTTTTCAATCATCTAAATTGACACGAATGGTATTTTAGCTTAGTTCTAGTACTAAGTCTCTAGTATCTAAAAATCTTTAATTAATTTCGTGCTAATATTCTCCCGGTCAAGTATTTACGGTATTTCTTTTAATTTAGTCACCGGGAATAATACATTCTATCGATGAAAAATTTGAAGGTCTATAAAATTGTATATTTTTCTTCGTTTTAATGATATGGACTAAACCAAGCATGTAGGTCGAGAATTAATTAATTTTGTTTGTCATTAATTATTTAATGAACAATTTGTTTGCGATCCATTCATAAATTGTCTTACTCCTATTTTAGTCGTGCATATTCTCTTCCATATTTTAGTCATTTTTCCATGTTGATTACTATATTGTCTTAAAATTTTATTAACATTTAAGTCCATACATTATTATTCTATTAGAAAAAATAGAGAGATTAAAGATTATCCCACACAACCTTTTCTCTTTCCACCTACAGTTCTTAATATTTTTCTTTTTAATTTGTTTAAGGAAAACATTCCGGAATCAACTTCTTAAATTGACATTTTAAATTAAAACTTTAATTAAGAAATTTGTTGAATTCATATATGGAAAGTGAGTTTGGTTCTTTATTTAAAAATCTAAATATAGATGAAAATCGAGTTAAATTGACTGACACGACCCTCTAGACAGACTATTCAACTTTTACTTAATTATATAGTATACTCTCAATTTAGAATCTTTTTCCATTCATTATGAACCTTTATTTATATATATATATATAACCCTTCAAAGCTTAGAAGTTCATATAATATTCAAATGGCTTCAATTAGAACAAGTGTTTGTGTGCTTTTGTTTCTTTTCTATTGTAGTTTCAATGTCTTTGAAGCTACTGAATCTCATGAAAGCCTAGATCCTGCACCAACTCATCACGACAGCCACCACAAAGCAGCCTCTCCAGGCCCACATCATCATCACCACCGCCGCCACCACCATCACCATCATGCGCCTACGCAGTCCAAGATCAATGTCATCGAATCTGCCGAATCTCATGGCAACCCTGTTGTTGCACCAACTCATCATGACAGTCACGGTGCATCAAGCCCTCACCACCACCACCATCATCACCACCATGGCCACCATCATGTGGCTGCTCCGAGCCCTCACCACCACCTGCCTACGCAGTCCAAGTTCAATGTCATCGAATCTGTTGAATCTCACGGCAACCCTGTTGTTGCACCAACTCATTATGGCAGTCACCACCACCACCACGGCCACCATCATGTAGCTGCTCCAAGCCACCCCCACCACCCCGAGCATGCCCACCATGCTCACCACGGCCACCATCATGTAGCTGCTCCAAGCCACCCCCACCACCCCGAGCATGCCCACCATGCTCACCATGGCCACCATCATGTAGCTGCTCCAAGCCACCCCCACCACCCCGAGCATGCCCACCATGCTCACCACACCCACCACAAAGAAGGTGCCCCAAGCCCTCACCACCATCACGCCCACCACAAAGTAGCTGCCACCATATAGTCGCAGAAGTCCCATTAACATCCATTGTAATGGACTTATTTTTCTTCTAAAATAAACCTATTACTAAAGGTATGTCATGAATTGTTCAAGCAAAAAATATCTGAAGTTCATTTTAACTTTAAAATTTGTCATCATCTTCAATATTCATAAATAGTGCAAATATGGTGAAAACACAGTTAAAATAAGGTTTAAACATCTTCTGACAGCCAAATCAAACATGCCATTTAATCAAGGGTGGAAAAAATATTCTCATTCAAAATAAGGTGTTTCTTAATTCTTACCATTTTTGGATTCAAGCATTTTCTCTTTGGGATCTCTTCACAAGATTTGGTCAAATGATAAACAATCACCTAAAAGTCATAATTTAAACATAAATACTATCTTTAAATTCATAAATCATATCTTGGGTTCTTCTTCAATTATTAATCGATTTCGGTAATTTAAAAGTTTAGACCTACGAAGAATCATGTTTTCAGCCACTTCCATGAAGGATTCTCGACCAAAAGCCGTCCTCAACTCCGCAAATTTGAGTTTGAATCTCACCTTTCAGCTTCCTCTTTCAAAAATCCTAGCCCCTCTTTTCTTTTCCTTTTTCTAAGAAGGCTTGTACCTTCGTAACCTCGGTGTTATAGAAAGGTTAACTCAGTTAAGAAGGGTTGAAGGCGTCACAACGACCGCCGATAGTAGTAGCTTTAACAACAAGGCTGAAAGTGTGAGTGTAGTTGAGATAAGAAATCTGAGTATAACCTTTGACAACAAGACGAGTCTTGAAATGCTCAACAGATTCATCGAGCAAATAGTTAGTGTTAAACACCCATTTAGAGCCCACTTGTTGCACGGGCAAAGAACAAAAATCTAAGTGTCGTTTATTGTAAAGCTCGAATTTCCTCATCAATGGCAGCAATCCAAACACGATTCTTAGCCGTAGATTTGAATTGTAGCAAGTTCAATAGGGGGCGAATCATAAGCCGAGGGTGGCAAAGAGAAACCTGCAAGAGAAATATCAATTTGCACATACTCATCCACAAGGTCATAACAAATATCACATGGAGATGATCTAGATTGAGAAATGTGCAGTGAAGAAGGGGTAAGGGGATCAATATGGTAAAAGACGTGGCTCCAAGAAATTTGAAATATGAAAAGAGGAAAGAGACCTAGGGATAGTAGAAAAATGAGCTTCATCGAATTGAATGTGACCGGTGATATATAGCCTAATGGTGGTTGGATCAAGACAATAAAACCTTTTATGAGAGGGACTATGACCCAAGAAAATGCAATGAGTCATTTTTTTTCTTCTCAAGTCATATTAATGTCAATATGATTTGTTCTACACGTCTTTTGCATTTGGACGACGCTATGTGTAAAAAAGGAAATATTAGTATTCACTTTAAAACAATACAAATTTCATTTTACCCTAACCCAAACACCTTTTTGTCCACCTTGATGCATTTGAACTCTTCGTCCAACCGAATATGCTACATGTTAGTCGTAGCATCTCATTGATTGTTGTATATTATTTTTGAGATTAACGACCTTACCATCTATAGTTGATACCCCTTTCTGTTTGATCCTCAATAACTTCTCTATCATCGACTCTTGTAATTGACGTACCTTGATCTCAACTATATAAATTAACACTTAAACTATGTTTTTTTTTATAGAAAAAATAAATGACAAATAAACCGAATGAACCATTTGAAACTATATAGCATTCAATGGCCTTAAATTGCTCACAACTAAATAACTTCATGTAGAAACCGTAAAGAGCTTACTTTTATTATCTTTCAAACCCTATTAATACATACACCAATTGACAAAGATGATATCAAAAACAGCTTGAAGAACACCGACAATGGCACGAGTGAATTATCTCATTGTTGCTCTATTGCTCTAGATAGTTTGGTCATTATGTATGAGCAAATTTTGCAGTGCTTCTGATCTTAAAAATTTTGGATCTTTTCCTGCCATTCTTATTTTCGGTGATTCTACAGTAGATACGGGAAATAACAACTTCATTCCCACCATTACAGAAGCTAATTACTCTCCTTATGGCAAAGATTTTCCCGGTCATATTGCTACTGGAAGGTTCAGTCATGGAAAATTCATTCCTGACATGGTGGCCTCTAAGTTGGGCATAAAGGAGCTTGTTCTTCCATTTTTGGATCCAAAATTGTCAAATGATGACGCGAAAACAGGAGTTAGTTTTGCATCAAGGGTTTGATGATCTAACTACTATGATATCCGAAGTTATTCTTATGATGAAGCAAATTGATATGTCCAAGAACTATATTCAAAGACTTACGAGGATTGTAGGTGTAGATGAAAGTAAGAAGATTATTGGTAGTGCTTTAGTTATTCTTAGTGTAGGAACTAATGACTTTACCAAAAATTTCTACGACCTTGCGGTAAGGAAACTACAATACAATATTAGTGGTTACCAAGATTTCATCCAAGATAGACTACAAAACTTCATCAAGGTAAATTAAACCATATGCACGCTATTAACCCTAATCAATATTTTATCGCATAATAATCCAAATTCATTCACATAAGCTTATGAACTCTAACATACTAAACAGGAAATTTACGAGCTTGGATGTCGCAATATAGTGGTTGCTGGCCTCCCTCTTATTGGTTGTCTTCCCATTCAAGAGACTATATCGTTTCAACCTTCTCTAAAACGAATATGTTTGGAAGATCAAAACTCGGACTCCATATCCTATAATCAGAAGCTTTCAAAGTTGTTGGGCAATCTATAATCGCAACTACATGGAAGCACAATATTGAACGCTGACATTTACACCCCTCTCATCGACATGGTCAATAATCCTCCCAAGTATGGTAAGTCGGTGTCCATCAAAATAGAAACCTTTATCAACTTATATGATCTAACGTCGTAAATATTTTAGAGAAATCAAGTTCTAAGAATCATTTTCAACTAAGTTTTGCTTGGGGCTTTTGGTCGCACAGGTTTTGAGCATGCGAACACAAGTTGTTGTGGAACTGAATTGGCAGAAGTAGCGCCTCTATGTAATGTATTAACCCCAATATGATGGATACCTATTTTGGGATAGCGTCCATCCACCAAAGCAGCTTACAAATTCATGACTGAATTATTTCTCAAGCAATTTCTTTAATCACCTAAATCAAAATTTAATTGTTTATGGGAAATCAAAGTTTGAGAACCATTTTCAACTCATTTTTGGTTTGGGCATTTGTTGAAGAGGTTTTGAGCATATAGAGAAAGGTTGTTGTGGAATTGGATTAGTGGAAGCGGAGCCTCTATGTAATGTAATTATCCCAACGTGTAAAGATCCATCAAAATTTATGTCCTAGGATAGCATTCATCCGACTGAAGCAGCCTACAAATTCGTCACTAAATCGCTTCTCAATCAATTTTTCAATCATCTAAATTGACACGGGTGGTATTTTAGCTTAGTTTTAGTACTAAGGCTCTAGTATCTAAAAATCTTTAATTAATTTCGGCTAATATTCTCCTGATCAAGTATTTACAGTATTTCTTTTAATTTAGTCACCGGGAATTATACATTCTATCGATGAAAAATTTGAAGGTCGATAAAATTGTATATTTTTCTTCGTTTTAATGATATGGACTAAACCAAGAATGTAGGTCGAGAATTAATTAATTTTACTTATTTAATGAACAATTTTTATTGATCTAATCATAAACTAAGTCTTGTGAAGAATTCACCATGATATAGTTGATCCATGCATAATATCACGAAAATGGATACAAATTTTTGGTTGCTACTTGTACGTAGTAGTATTGGCAATAGGCTGAAAAAGTATCTAAAAATGGAAAATTTAGATATTTGTACCCTGTGGAAGTAAAGAACTATGACATATATGTTTGAAGTAGATTCCATTTTGAGAGAGTTGAAAAAGTAGTTGAAAGGTTCAATACATCTCCCCTTCCTCAAGGCATTTCTTTAGACAAAAACTCTGTTTTTTCCTCTTTTCAATGGTAAATATTTCTCAGAACATGGAGTGTGAATCAAACCCATGTTTGAATTGAAATTGAGATACTGATGCAAGTTCTTCCCTTCTGAATCAGATAGATTCACATCCGAAAGAGGTTGACTACAAGTTCTTTCAAAATTGACTGGTTGTCCCTCTATTAGAGGAAACTCAGACCCCATGGTTCAAATCTTAAAATTAGTACTCTGCATGGCTGTTGCCAACTCGTGCCCTAAGGTGTTGGGTTAAGTCCAGCAACGAGCGCAAGCCTCGTGTTTAGTTGCCAACCATTGAGGTTGAAACCTTGAGCAGACTGCCAGTTATAAGTCGGAGGAAGGTGAGGATGACGTCAAGTCATCATGCCCCTTATGCCCTAGGCAACACACGTGCTCCAATAGTCGGGACAGAGTGTAACGACCTGAAATTTTCTTCTTAATTTAAGGTCGCTACTGTATACGTGAATGCGAAAGACTTCATTAAAATTCCATAAAACATAACCTTTATCTTGAAACACAGTCATAGACTTACGTGTTTCAAAAACATCTTTAAAACGACACAACAAAAGACTAAATAAAATGAATAAGAGTTTAAGTTAAAAACATTCTATTCTAGCCTAAGTCTAAGAAAATAAATACCACTATCCTATGCATGTGTCATGGTCTCGAGTTGCGATGTCGTCGTCAGCCGTACAGGAATGCTTTGCCTTAACCTGAAAAATGTAATAGCACATGGCTTGAGTATTTAAAGAAATATAAGTGACTCCACTGTTGGGGTTAAATGCAACAATCACATGCAATGAGATGATAGGACCTATCTTTCATTCTGTTTTCCCTTCTGTACTGTCCTAACGAGTAATTTTGGACGTGTATCATATACTCTACATACAGTCCATACGTGCGAGTATGGGCTCACCAGCTAGTTCGCACACCGCTAGCCCACTTTCCTTATTCGGTGGGCATACTCTGGGAGCCCCTTAGGTCGAACACCCACTAGAACTAGTAACCATCACGGTAGCGCTATGCAAAGCATAATGATCGTTGTCCTGCCATTGGATGTACGCGTCCGTACGCTCGTGATGGGATAGGGGTATCCCCCCAAATGCATGAGGTTCCAAAATTTTCCATTTTCATTATCCTTTAATACAACCCCGCTAGCATTATGTACATATCATATCATTTTGCATATCGTTTCAGATATCGTTCATCATTCATATCATAACGTTTCTCATTCTTCAGTTCTCAAATCATACATAATTCTAACGGGTTATATTTCATGTCATTTATCGTAATTTCATGTCATTTATATCATGTTGTATACACACAATTTAAGAGACCTAACATAACGTTCTATGCTTTTAACATAACATTTCATCATATACACATCATACCATGACATATTGCATCATAATGTATCATATCATAAACAAGTCATAACGTAAACACTTCGTAGTCATATCGTTCTTTAACTTATCATAGCCTTAACGTTCATATACCTATCACAGACATATCATTACGTGAACATACCTTAGTCATATCGTCACAAGAACTTAACCTAACGCTATCGTTCTATCAATCCTAACGCTATCGTTCTATCAATCTATCACAAACCTATCCCTTTCTACTCGTAACCTAATCGTATTCTTCCATCAATCTCTCTTATCCATATCACTCAGGTATGTAACCTAACCTTAACGTTTCATGAATGTATTTTACTCCTATCATTACATTTCGTGCATCCTTCTTGTATCATATCTCAAACATATCCTTGAACACATCGTACCGTAATTATTATGATACAATTCACATATTATAACATATACATAACATATAGGAAGCATATCGATCCACAGACAATTCACACATATCAATATATATGACACGTGCAGAACCACAGGGCACGTGTCAACATCAAATATAACCATGCCAATAGTAAGGTCACTTACTTACCTGGCTAGCTTAAGTCGTTGTCACGGATATATTTTTAATGAAAGTTCGATTCCGTCATTTGAAAACCGAGTCAACCTATATGAGCCCATGACATTAGTTTTTGGTTTGAACTCTACAACATTATTTCTCTAATTTAGATTGCTCCCCTGGTAAAAGTATTGAAATGTTATATATCTATACTTATATTTTTATTAAAAACCTTATTTTTCATGGTTACTGTTGTGTAAGAAAGTAGATACAGCTCTTTCAAGTTATTCTAGGATTTACTGCTCTCTACTTACCCAATATATTTACCTTTCCCTCCATATTTGGTTTGTGGTTTTTAATTCCCTAATCTTCTTTTTTTATCCGTTGCCTTTTGGTTATGTTATCATGTATTCCAAATTTCTAGTGGATCTCTGTTTCCAAATCTTTCCCAGTGTTTTCTGTTCACAAGTTTTCTTAGTCATTCTATCTTTAATATATTCATTTGGCTGCTGATAAAAGTTTAATCTAATATTACTAATTTGACGTGATTTACTAGAATTGTACAAATGATTGACATTTAGTTTCTAATTCAAAGCTAGACCATTGTAATAATTCAACGAAGATCTAACTATATTGTGATTTCTAAAAAAATTTAATATATATAAAAGAAAATGAGATTTAATATATACCTTTGATCAGATCTATGTAAATGGGTGAATCTGGGCAAAGGCCATTCTCATTTTTTTTTTCTCAAGTAATTTTTTTTCAGTAACAAAGGATAGGATGAGGAGAGATAATTGTGGGAAGTGATGAGAAATTAGGAGAGAGAAGTGTGGAAAGATTTTTTTTATTTTTAATTTTAATTAATTAATTATTATTATTTTAACTATTTTTTTATTTTTTTATTTTTTATTTATTTTTGGGCTATTACACAAAAGGACGTGATCGGGCAGGGTGAGCTAACTCCAAAAACTAGTGGAAATGGGGTCTCACCCTCGTAAAAATAATACTAGTGAGAGAGTGAGACCCATTGTTGTAGGAATGAATTTTATCTCATGAAAATTATGCTTCTAACTTTTTATTTGGTCAAATCCATAAACTGACGAGTTTATTGAACCGGTCACAAAAACTTAGGACGAAACTTCACATGCAGAAGTTCATAATTCACTCAAAATTAAGATCGAGTTAAACATGATCATCATATGAAACATTAATTTTTTCGATTAACAGTTTATAAATAAAAAATAGATATTTTGTAGCTTAATCTTATACAAACTTTTTGTATGAGATACCACCACTCACACGTTTTCACATGAACGATCTAAATAAAATTATTCGTAACAGTTATGAAGTGGACTGTAACAATGCTATTACTAAGATAAAGACACTCATTGTTATCTGTATACTATATACCGTTTATGTTGTTACTTGAGCATAATCCTCTCCTCAATTAGTTAAGATATATATCATCGACTAAAAGATCAGATGTTTAAATCGACATTTTAATCGACATTTTTTATCTAGTTGAATTATGCTCATGTTTTTTTTGCTAATAATAAATACTACATTACCCATTTCGAAAAAATTAGAAAATAAATCATTTGGTGACGTTCGTCTACGGTGTATTAACTTAAATTCATGTTTGGTATGTTTTATCTCTAATTTTTAAATACATAAGTGTTTTTTTCCCCTAAATATTTCAAAAAATGTTTAGAAATTTTGGAAGTAAATAAATACTATTTTATCATTATTATCTAAAAATAAAACAACATTAAAAAAAAATTGCATGTTTAATTTTAAAAATATTTTTCATATATCATTTTGACATTTTTAATTTAAAATTTATATTTGGACACGGCCCAAAATAGTTGATTTTGAAAATGGGCCGGGCTACAGGTCGGGTGTGGTTTGAATGGATTGCGAATCACACTGTTGGAATTTTTTTCGATCGGCGCCACTGGAACACTCAGCTTCCAAAAGCTCAGCTCAAATAGGTTTACCACCAACCATCACTTGCTTGGTTCTCCCTTAAATTTCAACTCAATCGAAGAAACGGTTGCTCATAGAATCTCCAATTTGCATAGTGAATCATCGCATTCACGTCTTGTCAGCTTCTTTCGAGGAGTTTCAATGGCGTCCAAGTTCGGTTTGGCCGGAGGGTTACCGGAGCGGCGAGTGCGCCCGATATGGGACGCCATCGATTCGAGGCAGTTCAAGAATGCTCTCAAAGCTGTAACAACACTGCTAGCCAAATATCCGAATGCGCCTTACGCCTTGGTAACGAAATACAACCGTTCACTTTCTGCAGTTGATTTTGAGTCGGAGTGATTTCTGCTTCTTTGTAGCTTGTTGATAATTCTTGAGTATTTGTCATTTCTTGATAATGTGTATTTTCGTAGCAATTTGCGTGCGGTTTTGTTTTTTCTTGTCTCCATTTTTGTCAGCAATTAGCCTTGTGGAGAATATGTTTGTTTGATTAAGTGTAGAGCTGGGAGGCTGCTTATTTGTACTATGTACACTCCCACAATATGAAAGAAAGTCATTCTGATAGCATTTCAGGCAGCTTCAGTATTCATTTTTTTGGTTAATTGTTGCTGGAAAAAAAGTTTTTGATCGGAATATTAATAATTCCGAAGGATCCCGTGATGAGGTCCTTCAAGTTTGAAGACTATCTTAGATTCTTGATAGGATTTTTTTTTCTTATGCTGTTCTATTGTTACTCTAGTACTCCGATCATGCACTAACAGTTCAGAATGCGTTAAGGATATGAAGCGACTTGAATAATTATCAAGTAGGTTTGAAGGTAATGGAGCAACTTGAATTTTGTTTTTTTCAGGCACTTAAAGCGTTGATTTTGGAAAGAATGGGGAAGCCCGATGAAGCTTTATCTGTCTGTTTAAGTGCCAAAGAGCTACTGTATACTAACGATTCTATCTTGATGGATGATCTTACTCTGAGCACGTTACAAATTGTTTTCCAGCGACTTGACCATAGTTAGTAGAATTCACCTAATTCAATCGATGTATATCCATATCGTTACATTTTTCTTCATTGTGATTTAACTCATTGTTTTACATGTAATCAGTGGACTTGGCAACTGGCTGTTATGAATATGCTTGTGGAAAATTTCCAAACCATCTCGATCTGATGATGGGGCTTTTCAACTGCTATGTTCGCGAGTATTCGTTTGTTAAACAGCAGCAGGTTCTTGTCCCTCACTTGCCACCTTTCCCAAACCCCAAATTTTCTTTGTATGTTGGCTTATTTGTGGATATCATTTTTATTGATGCTTCATGGATGTTCAGATATTCCCTTTCTTAATAATAATAATAATGATTCTATGATTTTTTTTGTCTTTTTTCCTTTCCCTCCTCTTCCTCACAGACAGCTATCAAGATGTATAAACTTGCAGGTGAAGAAAGGTTTTTGCTGTGGGCAGTCTGTAGCATTCAATTGCAGGTTCTGGCTGTTTGATACTACGTTTATAGCATTTACTTTCCTAATCAAGAAAATATAAAAACCTGAAAAGCAGGGAGCAGGAGTGAATTCTGGACAAATTTGTGAACAATTGTGGAGATATGTTGTAGGGCTAAATACGAAAGATTTAGATTTTTAGACTATGATGTAGCTGTTGGAATACATGATCAGAATTTTGGATACTATTCCTAGAGAGGGAAACCCATCGTTTCATATTAGGTGGGTTTGTATACATGATCCCACAAGCCCTGACACGGATGTATTTCCTGGGAAATTGATTAAAACTTCAGTTTCTTGGAAGCTGGAGCTCTCTGGTTAATTCTCCTATAAGTACTGTAGTGATTCCCTCGTCGAAGTTTTAATGAATGCTGAGTGTGAATATATCCTGAAAAATTTCGACGTTAAATTTAAAGCTTGTTATAGTTAAAACATACAAGGTATTGACTATCAAAGTATTCACTGCTTGGTTTCAAACAAGAATTATTTTCTTTGCAATTAAGAGAGAATCAACTTCTTTTCTAATTTTAGTTTACTAGATTGTTCTACTGTTACTATAATATGGAGATTACTATGATTGTTCGTTCAAATAAGTGAACTTGATTATTAGATCTTGATTAAGGTATCCATTAGCATTTTGCTTATGATGCAGTTACTGAATTTCTTGCAGGTGCTTTGTGGTGGTGGTGGGGAAAAGCTGTTGCTATTAGCTGAGGGTTTACTCAAAAAGCATATTACATCCCATAGCTTACACGAACCTGAAGGTGTAATTTATTTATTTTTTTAATTTAAATATTTTTTTCTTGTTGTAATACTAATAACCCGCATGGAAAGTGCTTCTGTACAATCAAAAGCGATTTACATCCATTTAATGTTTGCCTGTCCTTGTAGCTATTATGGTCTACATTTCAATATTGGAACATCAAGCCAAGTATGAAGATGCTTTGGAAGTTCTCACTGGGAAGTTGGGATCATTATTAACTGTTGAAGTTGATAGACTTCGCATACAGGTATTTTCTAAAGCCTTTTTTTTCATTAGCATTAAACAACAGATTATATGAGAACATGATGTGATGTAAATAATAGTGGACTTTCTCCATCCTACTTATTCAATTCAAAGATTTCCTATTTTCATTATTTCAGAAGTCCGTACGAGTTAATTGAATTAATAGCATGGGGACAGTTGTAGACTAGATCAAGATATTGTAGACAAGTGTCTTAATTTGTTATTGCATGATTATAAGTTTTATTCAGTTTAGTTAGCTAGCAATATCGCATCTTTTTCTGATTTGATAATGCACTTTGAAAACATTGAGTACTGATGATTATTCTTTGTCTAGGATTTCAGAATTGGTATTTTTTTTCTCTGAATCTGCCCTTTTCTTCAGTGCATGAAAATGGTGATGAAGAAACATCTGAAGCTAATTTTGATTATTTTTCCTTTTTTCCTTTATTTTTCTTTTTATTTTTGTTCATCTTGGTTTTGTACGAAGTATTAAGGAATGTGAAGCGACTGATATTGCAGATATCTCCCTCTAACACCCACCACTGCATTGCCATTTTCTCCATTATTCATTTAAGGAAAGAGCATGCAGTTTTTTGTTTTATCATTGCCAAAACCATTATTATCGCAAGATTCACAATCTATGTTAATAGTCATTCATAAAGTAATGAGCTCATTTGTATTAGTAAACTTTGGCTTCAAGTTGACAGGGGAGGCTTCTTGCTCGGGCAGGTGATTTTGCTGATGCTGCCAACATATTTCAGAGAATCTTGGAGTTACGGTATGTTTTCAAATCAATACTTATGTGTTTCCCATTTTTTGTTGTCTAAACTTTAAGCATTTCTTGTTTTAGTCCAATCAAATCTACTAATGGAAATATTTCGCCACAGGAGTTTGTTGATACAAAATATGAGTTTTTCATGTGTAATAGAACCCATAAAAAGAATTTCAATAAATTAAAACTAATTTAGAGTACTTAATTCAAATTAGAAAAGGGTTAGTGATGCATATTACCCAATAATTCTTACCAAGAAAACTCTTAAGTTTTTGCTGGTTGTAGTTCGAAAAGGTTCGAATCGTGGATCTACCTATAATGTTAAGGTTAAAATCAAATTGGGTTGTTTGGAGAGGTGGGTCACAATCAAGAGCTCATGAACGACAAAGAAACTGGCTGAAGAAAACAAACCTTAGGTCGCTGCCACCCAAGACCAGTTGTTGCGGTTCGTTGGCCAGGGAGCAAGCTGTCGATGGTCACTGACTGCTGGAATAAATCGTCATCGCTAAAGAAGCTGGATTGAACACCTGCCTGTTTGCAAGCCACACTGCAGTCTTGCACGCCTACAGCCAGAGGTTGCATCTGTGTCACCGAGAAAAAACCTGCAAAGACCAGCTGCCATTAATCGTCGGGAGTAGAGTGCTGGCAAGAAGAACTTTCAGGAGGGTGGAATGAGATGGAGAAAGGAAAGAGAGGGAAAATAAATAATATTTAAAAATTCTTTTAGGGTTTTCTTTTATTCCTTTTCATTTTCCTCCTTTTCAACTTAAACTCTAGTTTAAAACTTCCTGAATGATTTGGCTATTATCTTTGAAAAATAAGATTGGACTTTTCAAACTTGAATAAAAATAGAACAATGGATAATTAAATTCTAAAAATTTTGAACTTTGGGACTTAATTAGATATTGCACATGAGATAACTTCAGAAATTTAATTAACTTCACTTATCCTACTGAAATCTAATTTACTCAAATTTTGTTTCAATCAACGTTTCAATTAACTTAATCAAGTCAAAATTAATCTCCAAGATAATGTGATTCACCTTACCTTAAATGTGAGGCGACATCACGTGTTTCTCTCCTTTTCTTTCTGGCTTGATTTTGCTTGGTTTAGTCTTGTCATGTCCCATACATTTGTCCGTTTATATTATTCTTTTTCCTTCCTGTGTATTTTCCTTTTGCTGCATGCCTATTTCTGATACTGACCATTGCAATGTTCAAAACCTCGTGCTAAATTCTCAGTCAACACCTCTCAATCCCAAATCCCTCAGCATCATACTGATGTATGTACCTGTGTGCATATATGAATGTCAAACTGTTGATTTGATGCCATATTGCTGTACATTTAATATCCATAACAATTATTGTTTTTCTTTCTGTTTGGCAGCCCTGATGATTGGGAGTGTTTTCTACATTATCTAGGCTGTCTGCTGGAGGATGATAGTAACTGGTGCACTGAAGCGAGTATTGACCCAATTCATCTACCAAAGAAGGTGCTTTGCAAGATCTCACCTTTGGCAGAAGAATTGGTACATATCTACTCTCTAAAGTTCTCTGCTTATTGTATTGATGTTGCTTTAGGAGTAGGCAGCTCTACCTTCTTTTTTATTTTTTTAACAAGAAAAGCTCTGATCTGATTTATCAAAACTGGGCATGCAGTTTAACTCTCGTATATCAAATGCATCAGCTGTTATACAAAGACTACAAGAAGATGATAACAACAAATTTTTAAGGGGCCCATTCTTGGCAAATCTTGAAATTGAAAGGAGAAAGCACATGCATGGCAAGGGTAATGACGAAAATTTGTTGAGGGCCCTTACTGATTATTATGTCAGGTACATTTTGCATTTTGACTTCCAGAGTCCAAAATTCAAATTCTATTTTCTTTTCTTTTTCATTATTTTGTTTATTAGCACTGTCCAACTTGGAGCATCAACCCACTCCCGATGAGGGCTGCTTTTTGTTGCAACTCATTTTGAATCTTTTTAATGATATTAGGAGTTTTAACATCATTTCCGTTCTTATTTACTTCCTTTGATGTTATAATTCTAGTTTGGACATGCTCTGTCCACTTCTCCTCTAGGCTAGGGGCGCACGTCTTCCTTGATCTCTAGGCTGTTCTTTTGATTGTTTTCTTAATGCAGTCTTTGTTTCATATAGATATGGAAATAATAATAATTATAAAGAATAGCTTTTGTTGGAATGCTACCAATAAGTTTAATGGCAAAATATTTTTTTAATGTGTCACGAGGGAAAAGGCTAACCCAACCAAGGGATTGTCAAGTTTCAGCCATTTTATCTCAAGTTAGATTGGTTGGTTATCATGGGGTTATAGGATTGTGTTTAAATTTCATTTGTGAATGATATTGTGATTTTATTCCAATGATATTTTGTATCCCGATCACAGATTTGGTCACCTAGCTTGCTTCACTTCTGATGTCGAGATGTTCCTTGAGGTGTTAACTCCTGATAAAAGGACTGAATTACTGGAGAAGTTAAAGAAAACCACTCCCGCTACATCTATCATCACAACTAAGGCCGTTGGACAGTCAATAACGCTTTTAAAACTTCAAGATTTGAGTGGAAATATGTTCCATCAACCGGTCTCTGGTGTGTCCCCTGATTTCATGTCATTGATTCTTGTAACCTCAGTGTGCTGCATTTACATGACAATACCTACAAGCTATGCACTAGGAACTACACTAAGGATGTAGCATTAGAAAAAGATAATTCATAGAAAACTTGAGAGAAGTGTTAGCTTTAATTTGTCTAATGTCATGCCATTTGTGCAATGAATCCCAAGTATTTTAGGGGTAGATTATCAAATACACTTGAAGATGTGGCCTATTTTGTATGTTGCGCAACATGTTTCTTTTGCAAACTTTATCATGGAGTTGCATCTTATGCCATGAAAATTGATATATTATGCTGTTCTTTCCCAGAACTTGAGTGCTGTGCGGCACAGATGGCAGAGATGTACTGTAAAAACCTCCCACTTTCAAAAGATTTAGATCCTCAAGAAAGTATGCATGGGGAAGAGCTTTTATCACTGATATGCAATGCGCTGGTTCAGGTTTGTTTATATGTTGATGATAGATCATTTTACTTCATTGTTGAGTGCTGTAAATGTTATTGGATAGTTATCAATGTATTGTACTAGTCTAATTTCAAGAAATGAATTAGCTTTCGTGGCTCCTTTTGTTTTGTTTTTTTATACCAAGAATTCCACCAACTTATGGTCTGCAGAAAAAATTTAGAAACAATGTTTTTGCCCTTAAAATTCTGGTGAGGTTGCCCAAGGGGAAAGAAACCATGACCACTTATCATTTGCCACCATGCCATCAACCCTTGCAGTTGAGCTACTTTATTGTGTTTCTTATATTGAGCTAGACTAGAAGTCAGTTGCAATGGGCATGGCTGAAGGGCGTGTCTGCTACTGTATTGTTTACTTTATATTGTGATAATGAGGCAAGTCCACTTGTCCTTTACTGATGATATATCTTGGTTTTATAACTGTTTCTGGTATAGCTCTTTTGGCGTACACAAAATTTTGGCTACATCATAGAGGCTATTCTGGTTTTGGAGTGGGGCTTGACCATCAGAAGGTTAGATATGTTTATCATTTGAATCTATAAATAAAGCCTTTATCATAGATATGTTGGTATATATGTGCATGTATACTTGAACCACCACAATGAAGGTTTCCATAGAGGCGACAGGACCAATCATTCTGTGAAGATGTAAATATGTATTTGCCATGGCCATTGATGTGGCCTCCTAATAAGTATCATTTTAAAACTGATAAACCATCCATCAAACTAATTTTTTCTCCTTTTTTTTTTTCATTAAAATAACTGTTAGTGTTGGGTGCTAAAGTGCACGATGAAGCAGCAGACACATTCGCAAGAATTCTAGAGAGCTTATTTTTCTTTTAAAATTTAATTAACGCCAGAAGGCACGAGGGACCCATATTGAAGTTATACTACCCCTACCCAATGAGCGGAACTGCCATTGCAAATACCCCTAACTCTAGATGATGGGCAGTTTCCAGTTCTCTTATCTAACTGTAAATCTAATTCTCTTTTTTTGACAGATACGTTTGGCAGTACAAGATCTTATTGTTGCATCTATATTCCTATCTAGGTGCCCTTTCTTCAGCTTATGAGTGGTCAGTATTTAATTTAGTGCTTTCTTTGTCTTTTGCTTTTTCCTTTGTTTAGCAGTGCTTGATAAGAGTGTTGACTCTGTTTCTTCTTCAAGGTATAAGTTGTTGGATGTAAAGAATATCCTGATGGAAACTGTTTCACACCACATTGTGCCCCAGATGTTGGTATCTCCTCTTTGGGAAGATCTTAGTAATCTTGTAAATGACTACTTGAAGTTTATGGATGATCACTTCAGAGAGTCTGCGGATCTTACATTTCTTGCATATCGCCATAGAAGTTATTCAAAAGTAAGTCAAAGCATTAGCTCTGTAGATTGTATATTGGAACATTTAGCATGCAAGACCTGCGGCTTTTCTCCATTCATATTTTATCAAGCAGTAGTACAATGTGCTCCCCCTGTGTTTGCATGTTAGGATGCACTTGTGTTGCTGTGTACATGGTGCTTTTCTATAGTTTTTATTGGTATATGCTATTTCGGGTATTTTCAACCTCTTTTCTTGTGCAGGTACACAAAATTTTTACCGATGGCACATTTAGTGGTGCAGTGTAATTAAAGAAATAAAACTAGATATAGTATGCTATTATGATATGTTTGGGATAAAATTGATTCAAACTGTTTTTCCTTTATTTTCTTTTTATTTATTTTTATTTATTTTTATTATTATTATTATTATTATTTTTTTGGGAACTTTGCTGTCTTGTTTTCTGTTGGTCATGACCTTTGCACATGGTACAAAATATAAATATCCACCATATAATTGTTTGATTATCCACTATTTTGTTGGTTCAAGTTGTTATCCTGTGAGATTAGTTGAGGTGTGGGTAAGAAGACCCAAATACTCATGGGTATTAAAGAAACCCATTATATGTCTGTTTGATGATTCATCACTTGTGTGAGAATAGTCGGGGCTTGTATAAGATAGTATAGAGGTATTAAGAAAAATCTATTATATAATTGTTTGATGATTCCCCACTTTAGGATTAATATGGATATCATAGATAGAAAGAAACAAGTTCTTTGAGTGTAATGATCCAACTTTTTAAAACCCTAGACCGACCAAGTTAGTTACCATATGCATGGTTGCACCATTTTAGAGTGTTAGAACAAAAACATGCATGTGGCAAATTCGTACCTTTCAAGAAAACACTTAAGCTTTATATCCCTTCAAAATCAAACCAGAAGAAAACATTTCACTCAAATCTAGTAGAAAACTTCGTAAACAGTGGAACAGGTTTGCCAAACAAATGAAAGAAAAGTCTAGGTAACTTCAGAGTAGATAATTGAAAAGATGAATAAGTTCAAATAAAACATATCAACAGTCTCGGCAACTAGTGGTCCTTCTCGTCACAACCCCTGCTTGCCCTCGCCTTTGCCTAAAAAAAACATTTTGAGAAAGGCTAAGTATCGAAAATACTCAGTAACCCGCTGTTGGGTTATATATGCATACATTTACAGTAAATATTGCAAATCGAAATAGCTATAAATCATTCAAAATTGGTCTACTCCCAAGCACTCAAATGAGCAGTTGTCACAAGTAAAAATCACAACACGCATGTAAAATCCCTGATAGATGATTGCCACAAGGCCATATCACATGGAGGTGATACCATTCCCATACACACATAACTAATTGCCACAAGGATGTTTAGTCCGACGTAATTTCCATGCACACAAATAGGTAATACTATATTTCCATGCACACAAATAGGTAATACTACAATTCTCATGCACACATATAGGTAATTGTCTTGCATTCTAATGTAATCCTCATGTACACATATAAGTAAATACTACAAAATTCTCAGGGACGTAGAGGGACATATAGAGATAATTGTCTCAGGTTTCCATACGTACATAAGGTTTCATAGTGTTTAAAATATCATTTACAAGTATGTCCAAACATCACAACAGTTCACAAAACAATCAAATGCCCACGTATCTAACAGTTCGAAAATATTTAAAGCAGTAGTCATCCAGCAGGAAAGTGTCTTGCCTTGAATCGAGAGAAATAGTAGGCTATAACATTCCAATCCTCCTTGGACTAGCAATTACTTGAAAATTCCTAGCAAAACATCCTAAATCAGCCTCATTCAATACAGTTTCAGCCTAAAACAAGGATAATCGAAATAAATGGACCTTAAAAATGAAATCAAGAAGAAAAATTGATTCAGATCGATCCAATTGAACTATTAACCATTGACCTGACCCGCTGACCAGTTGAACAAGTCATTGGTCTGTGAACCATGCCGCACATTGAACCAAACTGGATTGTTGAGCCGCGTATTCTTCATAACTCTCCAGCTACTGTTTGCAACTCCTTGCAATTCGTTGTGCAACCATCGTAATTCCTCCTCCCAACTTCTTGTCCTCAGCTCTTTATCTTTTTCCCTTTTAGTGAACCTGTCCCAGATAAAAGTAAATAATGATGATGTCAACTCATGATTTCAAGAAATTAAAATATATGATCCATCTTTGCTCTGGTCCAGTAGTTGTGTCTGTGATGTAAACATCTCAATCTATTATCTTTCAGGTTATTGAATTTGTTCAATTCAAAGAACGGTTGCAACACTCTAACCAGTATCTAGTTGCAAGAGTGGAAGAATCTATTTTACAGTTAAAGCAACATGCACATAACATTGAAGAAGAGGAGGTATTATTCACATGAGTCATTGTGTCATCTTGTCGATAGGACTTCTTTTCTTTAATGCGACTGATTCAAGATTTCTTCTTTTTTTAGGCTGTTCTTGAGAGCTTGAAATATGGGATTCAATTTGTTGAGCTGTCTAATAAGATCACCTCTAAACCTCTAACGTTTAATGAAGATTTGCAGTCACGCCCATGGTGGACTCCGACATCAGATAAAAATTATCTTTTAGGTTGTTTTTCTTTTATCTTTTATACGAATTAAATTTTGACTTGTCAGGAAATGAGCATAATGGTTAAATATTCTGCCACTTTAAAATTAACACAAATGATTAATTTGATAGTAAATTTTTTGGGATAAGTTCATGTGTAATTTTGGTTGGTTTAGGACATAATTGTTGGGTGGGTATTAGAATCTGAAATTTGATGATAGGTGTCATTCCTTGGGAAGCAACAGAATATTCCTTCTCCGCTAGGCTTGAATGTTTATGTTCGTTTTTAATGTCATAATTTTGTAACACGTTTTATCAGAAGAGAAGCAATCCCGTGATCTTTGATTCGTTCCATCTTTTTCTTTTCTTCTCTTTTCTTTCGGGATAACATCAGAATTTGCATCCTGTTTTGGTGTTTGACAGTATTTTCATAGACTATGGTTGACGGTATTTTTTGTTGTCAGGTCCATTTGAAGAAATTTCCTATTTTCCGAGAGAGAACTTGGTAAGGAACTCCAATGTTTCATTAATGATATTCCCTTGTTTGATTAACTGATTGATGCCTGGAAACTTCTGCCCAAATTTATTTGTTCAGGCTCTTTGGTTGTTTTGTTTTCTTCCCCCTATTCTTGCAACTTTCTAATTTTGAATTTAGTTCGAACTTTTTAGTTATTTTCCAAATTTCTTTTTGAATGAATATGTTCAATCACTTTTTCTCACTGCTGTAAACTGTGGGACTATTGTAGAACAAAAATCTGGAAGCCGGTGTTAGGAGAAATGTTGAGAAGAGATCTCTTCTTCCTCGCATGCTTTACCTCTCTATTCAGAGTGTTTCAACATCAACCAAGGAGAACTTTGAGATTAATGGTTCTCTGTCTGATCCCAAAATCTCCTCGGAGCTAAAATGCTTGCTTGAGAGCTATGCAAAAATGTTGGGATCTACTTTTGAGGATGCAGTTGAACTGGTCACGGGGGTTTCTAATGGACTAAGTTCGTATAAGGTATGTTCCTGCTGTTTCTCGGTTATGGGGGGTTTTAGTGGACTAAGTTCTGTAAGGTATGTTCCTGTTTGTCCAAAAAATATACAAATTTATTGTTAAACTACACATACAGATTTTAAGATAGTTCTTAAAAAGTACGTTGTTGTTTGTCTAAAACATATTTATTGGTGAATCGATTACTGTGTATCAAGTTCTTTAGCTATAAAGCCTGCCTTTTGTATACACTCAGACGTTATCAATGAAATGAAAACAGCTACTTATCTGCAAGTAATCAGGTCAATGGTTTATGCGACCATGCTTTCCATTGCTTGTTTTGTTAGTGTTTAATTGTCTTTACAAATATGTAGAGTTTCAAATTTGAACAAATTTGAGCATGTGACTTACGTTATCTTTTTTCTGATATGGGGGAAGAATGATGTATGCTTTATAACTGAAGTGGCTCAAGAGCCTACTGTCAGTTTTCTAGTGTCCCAGATATTGTTCTAGCATTTTTGTTATTATCTTCATCGTGTTTGTTTTTTTTTTTTTTTTTTTTTTTTC